TTTCATGATGAGCATGATCATATGAATTAGAAGTTTAATGACATTTGTAAGCATTTTAATTTACATGAAATTAACATTAACAAGCACATTATTTCACGTTTCTAGATATGTGAATATATATAAACTAATGATCTGTTAAGCATTACATAATGTTCGTTAATGATTTATTAATGAAAGTTATTATAAAGTGTTAACAGAATTGGTTCCCTGGAAGAGAGCCGAGAGTGATTAGCAACAACTTTGATAACATCCAGACGACATTGCGGAAAGTCAGGCAAGATTCGGCCAAAGATAAGCAGGCCAAAGATAAGCTGCAAGACAAGATGGCGAGACTGGAAGACAAGAGTCGTCAGTGCATTAATTGTCCCGTTTGTCTTAAAAAAAGGGGAAGAGGGCAGCGACCCTGTAGTTTTCATGCAAACTCGACTATCCCTGTGGATTCCCTCCCTTAAAAGCAGATCGATCGAGATAGATAGGGCACATCGAATATATACCGGTGACGGCCACAGAAAGGGTCCGCGAACACTGATCTTCAAACTCCTGCGGTTTCAGAACAGAAATGCCATCCTCAAAGGAGCCCGAGCCTGGTCAAATACTCCACAAGGGCAGCTCGCTTCTTTTCTTCCCTGATTACAGTAAATAAACCACCACGAAAAGATGCGAGATGAATCAGTCTAGGAAGAAACTCGCACAACTTGAGATCTCATATTTCATGATCTGTCCCGCCACGCTCCTTGGATCAACTTCACTTCTCAAAACGCCAGCTGAAGTGGAATCTTACACAGGCTCTCGTCACACCTCTGCTATGTGATGACACGCCAGCCCATCATTTCTAGGAAATGTAAATACACTTCTAACATCGCGACTATGGCAAGCAATACTCTAGTGAACTGTGGTGCCGAGTTGGCCTTTGGACTCAAGTGATTGACTGTCATGCTGGCAACGTATCCAGACGAGGCTGTTGTATTGGCACGAAGGAGAGTTACCGTATTGACCCGAATATAAGACGTAGGAAAAATATGCAATATGAAAATAATTGAAGACAAAATGTGTTTTACTGAGAAAAAAACAAGATTTGGTTTTAAAAGGCCTTTTTCCAAAAGGTACATCTGGAAAAAGGGGGGTCGTCTTATATTCGGGCCAATACGGTAATTCTAACTATCTGCTTACTACCTTCTCATTCAGTTCTTGTTCTTGTCCTCTTAAAGTTCCAGATGCCATGATTTATCCATGCAAGTCCACTGTTTTACACTCAAGAGGATGTACATTATTATATCCTTATTAAATCTGATTTATGGCACTTAACATAATATCTTGGAATGTCAGTGGTTTAAATAGTGCCGTTAAAAGAACTAAATGGTTGGACAGGCTTCTGTTGAACTAATACAGGAATCTCATTTAAAGGCACCCTTTTCAGAATAGGCACTATAAATTAGTTTCTTCATCTGCTAAGAAAACTAAGGGGGATTTGATATTGGCAGCTCAGCGCCTTCCCTTTTCCATACATTGTTCTAAGGGTGATGCAAATGGTCGTATTACATACCTACTTCGTACATGGTCCAATATTAAATGCACTTTTGTCTCATAATATGCCCCTAGCGAGTGCGTTCTATCAACAGCTCGTTCATATGATACTAATCTTTATTGACTATCACCTTGTGATATGCGGAGACTTCAATGCTGTGCATGACCCCTTACTTGATAGGTCACAAATGTCTCAATCTGATTTGGCCTCCTCAAAGTTGTTGAATGACTTTATAATAGAGGACAATGTGTGTGATATGGCGATTGAGAAATGACAGGGCCAAGGACTACGTTCTTCTCAGCTTGCCATAAATCCTTTTCTCGCATTGATTATCTGCTCATATCACCTGCTTATATCCCATTTATTGATAACACTGATATATAACCTCTCATTCTTTCAGACCACTCCCCAGTAACTTTGTGTTTTCTTCCATTTTCTGCTCCCTCTGGGCGTAAACGTTGGATGTTTAATACATCTTTACTCCACGATTTAGAATTTCTATCACAGCTACATACCTCCCTAGTAGAGTTTATTCACTTGAATAGTGGTTCCATAAACAATCCTCAATCCTTAATCCTTATGGGAGGTAACAAAATGCTTTATTAGAGAGAAATGCATTATTTTTCTGCAATTTAAAATTCATTGAATGATCCAATTTTTAGCCTGTTTGAACCTGCAAAGGATATAGATGACCTACTGACACAGTCTCTGTCATTTGTGTTTGATTCTCGCTCCTTTCACATCATGGGTTTCGAAGACTGCCCACTCTGCGAACGTGTATATTCCAGGCTGAGCCAGCACCTGAGGGTGACCCACAGGGTGGTGAACCTTCAGGAAAGGAAGCTGCTCCTTGCCATCTCCTCCGGGAGGGTGGACGTCCGCAAGGGTACCTGCCCTGTGCCCACCTGTGGCAAGTTCACCTCCCGTATAGACCGCCACTTGATTGGTCACACCGAGCTAACGGCGGCAGCCCGGCAAGAGACCATACAGGCTCTGAAGATGAGGAAGATCCTGCATGACCTTTCCGAGCTGAGGGCGAGCAACCCGGCCGTGCCCATGGCCTCGACCCTCGACCAGGAGGACTCTCACAACCACACCTTAACTCTGGAGGAGGAGGAGCGGGCCTGTGACAACCCCCGCTGCCGAAACCTCAGGAATGAGGTGGCAGACCTCAACAGGCAGGTGGGCACACTGAGCCAGGCCCTCAGAGACATGACCCGCCGCTACTGCCTGTTGAGGAGGAGATTGCGGCTCACCCCCTCTGCCCAGGTCAATGGAAGAGTGTTGTCGCTCTTCTATCTCCTGAGAAGGCAGCGGAGAAGGAGTAAGGCAAGCCCCGTGCTGGGCCTTCGGGGGAACCGGCTGGCCAGGGCCCCTGAGACCAGCCCCCTGCAACGGCGCCATCTCAGCAACAGGAGGAGCACCCCTTCCTCGACCATGTGCCGGCTTTGAGTGAGTACCATGTTCTGTCGCTTCTCCTTCTCACTCTGTGGCCATTGTTCTGACCCCATTGTTCTTGTGTTTTCTTTTCGCAGACATCCTCCTCAAGGAGTACCAGGGCAACCAGGAGAGCACCGACCCCACTCTGAGGCTGGTCAATAATGTGGCCTCAAAGATGTTCCATTTCCGCAACTACATTGCGTACATGAACCAGATGTTGAGGATGCGGTCCTGGCTCAACTAGGCCAAGATCTTATTCAAGCTACAAATGTTAATCAGCGAATGGAGCAGTCGAGTGATTTCTCTTTTTCTTTTGTTCTTTGATTTACTTAAGCAAGTTTCACTTTAAAAGCTGCACTGTCTCTTTAAAACCTGATGCACATGACGCGGATCTGACACGCATCCGATTTTCTCCAAACTCTTTACGGTCATTTAAGACTTTATAACTCCGTTAAGACTGCGTTTAGGAGGTAACCCGCCAAAACCGCGCATTTTGACAATTGTGTGTGTTTTTGTCAGTTGAAGTGCTACTGGCAGTCTGTCTGAAGCGTCTCAGCGCATGTGTACAGCTAAATGCGCAGCCTTTCATTATACTTCATTTGACAATAATTTTCGTCCAGTGTTTGCACTATTTCTCGCCAGAAGTTATGACCGATAACACACTGTCTTCATACTCGGTTAAACTAGAGTTTGCACTTGTTAACGCTGCCATCTATTGATGTTGCCGTCTCTGTAGATTGTTGTTGCATCTTTTTTCTTTTTCGGATGGCCCGGGCCAGTATTGCCACCATGTGGACAACAATTCAAGGCATATATGCGACCTGTGCACACTTTTCCCTCGGGCCGGATGAAGATGATTGGTGGGCCGGATTTGGCCCGCGGGCCGCCAGTTGAATAGCCCTGATATAAACAATCAATTTAGAAGAATAAAAAGACACATTTTAACTGTACATCAGTGCAGGATGTGAAAAAGTAGGCCAGTGCAAATGTTCATGAAGCATACTTTTGAGGCCCCGTCTCAAATGGCACACTTCATATGCACTTACGGTCTTGTGGACTTACAATGGCTGCCACATGTAATGGTGGTGGCCTATCAAATAATAAGAATAATAAAAAAAAAAGATTACATTTGTTTTTTCTTTGGTTTTTTTTGGTTTTTTCGGGTGCCAGACAGGGTTTTAATCCTGTCAATACGTAAACACCGGATAACTTATTTAAAACCATCAATTACATATGAAAGGTAGAAAGAAACAAATTAAACTTTACAAAATTAACAAATTTATTATAAACAGTCAGCAAAATCACATAACAAACAGCAAACATAATCTGCTACCAACAAAACGAGTTAAGAGTTTTACATTTAACTTAGACACCACCATAAGCAAGACAAAAGGGGAAAAAATAATAAACAAATGAAAGAAAAGAAAAACGTTAAAATTCAGAAACCCCGATGTGAATAAGGTTGCTGCAATGCCATTTTCCCCAATGTCTATTTCACTTCTTTTTCATGAATGTTGATATTTGTATGTTTAAGAGCGACTGAGGCAGGAGCTGTGTGTGATCAGTGGAGAGGGGGCGGGGTGCAGTAGCTCATTTGCATTTAAAGGCACATGCACCAAAACAGCGTTTTCATCTGTGCTCAGAAATGGGCATATTCAACAGGGATTTATAAAAGATCTGTGAGGTATTTTAAGCTGAAACTTCACAGACACATTCTGGGGACACCTGAGACTTAAATTACATTGTAAAAAGAGGCATAATAGGGGAAAATTTGCCTTTATCTTTATATATATAAGAGGTCTTTGCATCAATACATCCTGCAAGTTACAAAACTTAAAATGTCCCCGTCGTTAATAAAAAAAGCATTTATAGGCTCGTTTGATTCCGAGATGGCATGCTCAGTGTTTTTTTGTTTGTTTTTTTGTTTTAATTGATATACTTGCTATGATACGGAATATCCACAGAAGTTTTATAGTGTCTGATTTCACAGGTTTTTTTCTGAATATAAAAAGGATGATACAATGGAAAGTATTTGCTCTGGCTCTTGTTTTAAATGATTTTTGAACTCTCGGCGACCGTTAAAAAACACCCTAGCGCTCAGTGCTCGGCACTCTCCTGCCGTTTTAAAAAAACGTGGCGCTCCCATTGAAAACAACTGAAAAAAATACACTAGCCTCAGGTAAAAAGAAAGCTTTGGTGGACACGCGGCATTAGCGCATGCCTTATGTCAGCCATTCGCTGTAATCCTGAAAGAAAGCTTTATGAGTGATCTTCATGAGTGAAATCTTCTGTTTTGTCACAAGTAAAGGGCCTGCCCACTGAGCAAAGGTACATCCAAAATATGTCTTTTCGACAACATCTTTGTTGGACATGGCAAAGATTCCCCCTGAGGAGCGAGAATTAATGTTTTTATGGAGTCTTTTTTTGACATCTTCTGCACGTCTGATATAGATGTTCATGGGACCTCCATACAAGGTTAAAAACTGGTTCAAATTTTGTCATTGTGGACATATATTCAACACCTTATAAAGTCTCATTAAGACTTTATTTATTCGTTTTATTGACAAACTCTCAGGATACATTTAATTAAAACTCACATTTATTTCAATTTAATTTCTATTTGTAAGTGCAAAGCAACTTACAGACAGTGTGTTTGTCTGAAAATCATGAAAATAAAAGCAACTTAAAGGGGTCATATTATGCAATTTCAAGTTTTCCTTTCTCTTTGGAGTGTTACAAGCTGTGTTCATTCATAGATAAGATCCCTAAAGTTGCAAAGACTAAAGTCTCAAACCTAAAGAGATATTCTTTATAATAGTAAAGACTCGTTAAGACTGGTCCACGCCCTCAAAACGCACCTCGTTTAAACGCCCCCACATGTCTACGTCACGGTGTGGGAAGATTTGCATAACACCGCCCAAATGTTCACGCAAAGAAAGAAGGTGTAACTTTTATTCTCGCTGTAGTATTGTTGTTGCCGCCGCCATGTCGTTGTTACGTAATGGCTACAGAGGTGGAACGAGGAGACACAGGCGTAAACTCAAAATACAGTCTTTTAATCTTTGCTTCGGGGAAATACAGGGCAGGCAGACACTCACATAGCACATTGGGGAATCAACTCAATAGCAGACAAAGGAATATTAGAGAACACAGGTTTTAAATACTGAGAACATAATCAGGGAGAAACAGAAACAGGTGTGGAGCTAATTAATCAAAAACCATGGAAACAAACAAGGCAGGAGAAAGGAAACACAGAAAACTAAACCAAAACAGATAATAACCATAACAGTTCGCCCCCTCCCGGAACGGCACGTTCTCGTGCCGACAAAAGTCCAACAGAGGAGGGAGGGTGGGGGTTCAGGAGGTGGGCGTGGGGCAGGCAATGGAAAGGGAGCATAGTTCATCGTGCCAGGGCGGAGTGGATGGAGGGAGGAGCCCGGAGCAGGAGGAGCCAGATGGGAATCCAGAGGCCAGCTAGGATAGTGGCCCACGGTGGAGTCGAAGGCGGGAGGAGCCATGGTGGAGATATGGCTGACCCCACCAGGGGGCCGACTGACGGAGACTGAGCTGATGGAAGAGGAGCCCATGATGGAGCAGAGCAGACGGAGAGCCAGGGTGACACTGAGGATCCGGAGGGCCAAGGCAGAGCTGAAGGCTCAGGCAACCGAGCAAAGGAGTGGAGCTGGTGGGATGACGGGCCATGGTGGAGACGAGGGAGCTATGGGCCTAGGCGGAGCCGATGGGTCGAAGGACCGAGGTGGAGTCCAGGGCTCGGAGGCTGGAGGCGGAGACAGGTAATCTTCACGCCAAGGCGGAGCTGGAGGTCCCTGGGCGAGTCGGAGCGCCCCGATGGAGCTGACTGAGGGTGAGCTGAGGAACTGACAGGCACCAGCGGAGATGGGGCTGAGGAACTGACTAGTTCTTTAAGAGGAGAGGGAGGCTGGGAGGGGACACTGGAGGACAGGAGCTGGACGGAACCAGCAGAGACGTAGGAGGACTGGGTAATGCCTCCCCAAACCAGTCTATTAAATCCACTTTGAAACAGTCCATTTGTTCCTCATAATGTGGTCCAGTGACCAGTTGCAGCTCACCCTCAGCGGCGGGAGTGTGGGCGGGGCTTCCCTCCAAGCTCTTGATCTCCACCAGCACTCCCTCTGGGACGGGCGATGTTGCCGGCTCACGCACCTGGTCAGAACGGTCTTGAGGCTCTTGCTCCTGGGCGATGATCGGCTCAGTTGCGGTGGGCTCAGGCATTTGTTCCGTGCAGCGGGATGACGGCTGGCTGGTCTCTGGTTCGTGAGTGGGGCTGGAGATGTCCTCCTCGGCGGGGCAGACGGAGAAATACAGTCCATTTCTCTCCAGCACCCACTCCACGAAAGCGGTGAAATCCTCCTTGGGACCGTTCGCCGCTCGCTCAGGCTGGTGTGATAGAATATGCAGAGCGAGCGATCCGGGAAGTGTGTAAGGCACGCCAGATCTACAAAGTCCCTTGTACGGTCCTCCAGCAAACGGCTGGGATTGCCATTCCGGAAGAGGGGAGAAACAAAACAAAAAAGAAAGAAAAACTCCGCTAATATTACTCACTTTTAAGGTCTGCTATTCTGTTACGTAATGGCTATGGAGGTGGAACGAGGAGATGAGGAGACACAGGCGTAAACTCAAAATATAGTCTTTTAATCTTTGCTTCAGGGAAATACAGGGCAGGCAGACACTCACGTAGCACATAGGGGAATCAACTCAATAGCAGACAAAGGAATATTGGAGAACACAGGTTTTAAAAACTGGGAACGTAATCAGGGAGAAACAGAAACAGGTGTGGAGCTAATTAATCAAAAACCATGGAAACAAACAAGGCAGGAGAAAGGAAACACAGAAAACTAAACCAAAACAGATCATAACCATAACACAGTGACTGCTCTAAAATACGAAGCACCAATGTTTCAGGAGTTTAGAACACATAATAAGATGCATGCTTATTCGATAACTGTTTAATTTCCTATTTGGGTTTATGCATATCCGCCAGCCGTTCCTCACTCTAGCCCGCCGTGTGTGACACTATGTGTTTCACTGTAAAAGAGAAACTACTTTGTTTGGCCTTCCAAAAGAGGACACAACTAGAAATCAGTGGTTAAATTGTATTTACAACACTGTTCCAGAACAGTTCAACCCAAATATTCAGATGTGTGCAACGCATTTTATGGAGGACTGTTTCCTGAACCAGTAGCCTACAATGCTGTGCACAAAGGCTGTTTCTATAAAGTGGGTTAGTTCCAACTTTGCAAGGACAGTCTGGTGCTTCTGACTCACAGC